GCCCCCGCGCCCCGCCGGCCCTCGCCCATCAGCCCCGGGATGGCCCTTGGCTTCGTGGCTGTTCCTGAGACCTGGGAGCAGGGAGAGATGACCTCAGCGTGATCCCAAGGCAGATGCTCCGAGCCAAGGCAAACGGAGCTTGGACAACGAGACCAGACCCTAACAATCCCCCTTACCCCCAGTGCTTACCCAGCTCCTTATGGACATGTTGGGGGATGCCCAGCACCGTCGTCCTCCTGTCCTTCCTCTTCTTGCCAGCCCTCTCCGAGGATTTGGGAAAGGAGTCGTGCGGTCGGAAGGTGGAACCTACAAGAGGCGCGAGCAGGTCCAGCAGGTGTGAGGGGGGCCCTGGCCAGGGTGTCCCCAGTGTCCCCAGCACCCCCTCACTGACAGAGATGCTCCGGGACGAGCCAGGCTCAGGCATGGAACAGCCCGAAGAGGCACCAGCAGCAGGGAGGAGACGGTGTCTGTCTGTCTGTCCATCCCTCTCGCCCAGCCCCAGCGCTCTGACTCAGCCGGAGTTGCTCTCATCTCTCCCAAGGGCCCCCAAATCCCTGCGCTGGCTCGTGGCCACGCCAAGGCAGAGCCCAGCTTTCCTGCCATGAGCTCCGACCCCCCTTGCATCCCCTTGCCTGGTGTCCCCCCCGTCCCACGGCCGCCCAGCCGGGTACCTTTCCTCTGGATCATCTCGGAGCGGATGGAGAGGGCGTCCTCAGAGGTGCTGTCCGTGGCACAGGAGGCCGCCCGGCTCCGGATGGACACACTGTCATCCTCCGAGAACGCGCAGGACTGCGGGGACAGAGGGACAGGGGGCTCAGCGGACCCCGGGCAGCGGGGACGGAGCTGCCCCAGCCCCAGCCAGGCCCCTTCCCTGCCTCACACTCACTGCGCAGCCCAGACAAAAGCTTTTCCGAGGGCCAAAGGCTGAGTCAGCCACGCCGGCATCCAGAGTCCTCCCACCAGGAGCGGGGCTGGGAGCAGCCCCTGGGACCCCACGTGGCCTCGCAGCCCCCCGGAGAGCAGGACAGCCGGGGTCTGGCCCGCCAGGGGAGCACCTGAAGGAACTGCCAGCCCCACCTCTGTGCCAAGCCAAAATTGGCCCCATGGCTGTTCCCAGCCCGGCCATGACCCGGATCCCAGGGCTGGAGGGCTGCCATGGCTGGGAGAGGGGCGTGGGACAGGGACAAGCAGGCAGGGATGCAGTCAGGCTGGGGACCCCCTGCACTCAGGTGCCACTGTGGGCATGGCCAGTGGCACAGCCCCGCGTCAGGCACAGCTTCCAGTGTTCCCACCCCTCCAAACCATCCCTTGGCACAGGCAGAGGTTGGGATGAGACACATCCTGACTCCTCCGCCTCGCTGCCCCGGTGGCTCTGCCCACCCTGGGGTTTCCAGACCCTGCTTCCAAGGGGTTAAAGGGGACAAGAGCCAGTGGGAGGCAGCAGCTTGAGCAAACACAGGCGGGTGAGGCACTGGCAGCAGGGTCAGAGCCCAGGGACACGCCAAAGCCCAGCTTGGCCAAGAGAGTGGAGTTTCTCCTTGTCAGCAGCTGGGGAGGGGCAGAGACACCAGGCTGGATATGGCCAACAGTCCCTATTGTGCCATCCCACCCCTCCACCTTGGTCAGGGCTGCCAGGGGACACCAGTGGGACAGGAACAGGGGGATAGAGGGATGCAGGAAAGGTGAGGATCCCCAGCAGAGCCCCACAGGGCAGAATGTGTCGAGGCCAAGCACAGGGACAGTGGCTCATTATGGGGCAAAGGGGATGACACCAAGGGACACACAGCCTCTTCCTGCCCAACAACCCCCCTGGACATGGTCCTGCCACCTTGGCTGGTTCCCTGTCTGACCTCAGACACCACTTAGGGGGGACAGAGGAGCCATCCTGTGTCCCCTAACCCCCCGGGGCACCCCCAAGAGCACCACAAGGCAGAGGCAGCTCCTCGGCAGGGCTCACCTGGAGGCTGCTGGTGTCCCCGTGGTCCCAGGCACTTTTGGTCTGCTTCTGCTTCTCTGTGGAGGGAAGGCAGGAGGTAAATCCCCCCTGGAAGAGCCCACAGGTAGGGAAGCAGCTGCCGAGCTGGCAGTGCCCCCTGCACACCTCAGCCACCGCTGGACTCCGGTCAGTCCCATCGCGCCGCCCACACAGCCC